TGCCATAATTATATTGAGGAAAAAGAGACACGTTTTATATTGATCTAAGAATCAGAGAATAAAAGTCTCTGTAGCCAATTTAATCGAAGATGAATTAATACTCTGGTTCGAGTTTGTCCTCTGCAGCTGGCTTGTGAAAATCTTTGTGGAGATTTTTTTTTCTTATTGAGAAATTTTAACCATGAAGCTTCCGAGCAATATTTTGAGGGAAATGTTGCTATATGAACTTGAGGTAAAAAATATTAATTGACTGAATTGATTAATTAATTAACGTTGGAAGAATTAGTTGAACTATATGACATTTAAATGTAATCTTTATTTAAAATTTACTCTGCATATACTGTAATACCAATTGATGCAACTTAACAATATACACATCTGAGATTCTGTATTAAAAGGTTTAGAAGACTTGCATATAAATTTCCTTGGAAAAATATGTTTTTTTATGGAAAAGATGACTTTGCATGGCTGCGGTATTCAGAATATAATCTTGTACACATATCATATGGTGAAAACATGCACATGATGGCAAATATCTGTTCAACATTAGCCAAAAATCTGTAGACATGTGAAAGATTAGTTAGCTGAAGTCTTTCTGCAGAGGGTGTGTCATATAACTCAGAGAGGTTCTTGATTTATATTGCATAATAATTCTGAAAGTTCTAAAGTTTCGCCAAGATTCCCTGGCCAGAATATATTGTTGAACGTATGACATGCAAGTTTATTTTTAGAATGGTTAATATATGCTTTATTTAAAAAAAAAAAAATTGGTATAAAAAATTATTTTTTATTTTATGTGTTGTATCTTAATAAAAGCAACCTTACTAATAGTTCATGATGATTGATAATGAATTAATTAATATTTGAATAATTTAATTTTAGAAGTTTCTGAACATGATTTTTTGATTGGCACAGATAGCATTAAGTTTGAATGACAAGAAATGACTAGAAGATGAATCCAAATATTTGTACATTCATGGAAAAGTTTTTAAAAAAAAAAAGCTTTGCATGTGCTTCAGAGATTTGAATTTAAAATTAATGGCATCCATTATCCAATTACTCAAGTTTTTCAACGTCTCACATTGACAATACTTTTGACAAATCAAATGTTTGTCAAAATACTTATGTTTGTAATATAAGCAGAGCTGCCAACCCTTACGATTTTGGTAGGCATGAGGTTCTAAAATACGCCTTACGATTTCTCTATATATACAAAGATTTCAGTTTTTCTATTCAAAGTTTATAATTTTTGTAATTTCATATAATGAAATTCACTAATATAATTTAGAAGTTTTTCAATGCTTGCTTACAAGTAGCATCGTTAATCAGTTTTAGAAGGCCGATCACATTCATGTCAATGTTTTAATTTGAAAAAAGTAAACAAAAAGGAAACATGCCTCAGATTGGATGTCAAAAATACAAAACATCTTCTAAAATGCAGGGGGCCTAGGTGTTCAGCTACCCCGCCTTACTATTTGTGATTTCATAATGTTGGCAGCTCTGTATAAGTATTTTTCAACTGCATGTCGATGAATAAATGTATCACTTCATTTATAGTAAACTTTCCATTTTGTAATTTGAATCAATATATAGCCTTTGAATTTGAATTTAAATGAAATAATGATACTATGGGAAATTATTAATTGATCCAGGCCTTTGAAATATACCCCAGGTACATCAATGAATAGCAGATTTGGGGACTTTTATTAGTTATAGGTACACTAATTAAAATTATGAGAACTTTTTTGATCTCTGCAGGACACAAAAATAAATCTCTTAATTAAGCATGCAGGTGACTCATTTAGACAAGAATTTATTAATAACTAATACTATAAATAGCTATTGTGCCAATAAGTGTTCCATGGGCCTTAAAGCTCCTCTCTTTGGGATTTTTTGTCTGTGAGAAATGAAAATTTTAAATGACTAAACGCAATGAAGTTCTTGATTAAGATTGAAAAAAAGTTTAACTTCTGTGAAAAAACTGAAATTAATTTCTTCTCTTACATGTTATCTTTGATAAAAGGAAGATGGATATTTATTTTGATATATTTTAATTAGTGAAATTTTTAAAATGTTTTTTTTCCTGTTTGGTTGAATATGATGACGTCAATTTTTCGTGCATTTTTATTTATGATGACCCTTAAGCTTATAAATGGGAGATGATTACACTGATTCCTATATTTCCGACCTGTGTTGTAATTTTATTGTTGTGAACCCATTAGAGGAAAATTGATGTTGTCCAAATAATGATGTTTCTTTTATCATATTTATAGAAGTCAAAATTGAAAATTTGATTATCATAATTATGTAGATTTTTGAATGCAATACATCTTTTGTCATTTCAAATTTCCTCCAGATGTAGCCATTGAAAATTTTATCAACCAAAAAATACTCAATAGAAATTTTTAACTTAGTGGAGTGTCAATGATGAAATTCTTTTGTCGCAATTTTATCGTGTTAGAAAACCAGACCTCCAATTACTGAAGGGAGAATACTCTTATATAATTGGCCTGTAATGTTTAAAGTAATTATTGGATTTGTTGAAAGGTTTAATTGACCCATACTGCCTTAAGGCAATTAGTATTATAACCTAATTATGTGCAGATAAATATTATGATTATTTGCATTATCATTGGATTAACACCCAAAATGTGTGAATGATTATATAAATAATTTCTGGTGAGTGTCGTAGAGTTAATATTTGATAATTCTCTTACAATGTAACATACTGCATGTAATCTATTTGAAATGGTGTTTCTGAGCAAACTTTCTGAGTGTGTTTTATTAGAAGAGGGGAAAAAACTTTGAAAAAGTGATAATGGATTAAATGCCTGGATTTCTTTGACCATTTAGAGTCATGCATATAAAAATTTCAAATCGTCTTCGGAAACAGGTACTGCAGGAATTTTATTAAATTAATTGCTGTTTTAATTATAAGCTTGAAAAAATGAACTTCTCCTTAATTCTGAAGCATTTGATTTACTAAAATGATTTTTTTTAATTTAAAACTAATAAATATTTATAAAGTATTATCACATACCCAACTGCATGATATACTTTGTTAGGAAATGGTTGGATGTACATTGCATGAAATTGTTTGTCTTTTTTTTTTTTTTTGAGGTTTTAATTAGGCCATGATAAATAAATTGCTAGATTCTCATCCAAATTTTTTTAAAAATCGGGGCGGGCGGGCGGCTTTTATTTTATATTTTTTATTTTTTCAATTTTGCAGATTTTTTATTGACCTAGTCAATCGGTGTAATTTTATCTACAATACCAGAATAAAATCATAGTAAAGGTTCCATTATCTCTTACTTCACATCATCACCAATCTTTTCAACCAATGACCCTTGTTTAAAATATATATGCGTGTATTACAGCAATTACCATCTTTTCAGCTGTCAAAATCATGTTGACATTCGCGGGATTTAAAACGAAAGTAGAATGATAGATGAATACCGATCCCTATCAGAATTAAGACAAAGAAAAAACACAAATAAAAAAAATCGAGGCGGGGGTTTAAAATCGGGGCGGGCGGGGATGAGAATCTAGGAATATTTTTATTATGGCCTTAATTTGACTTTTTTATGCCCCCCTTCGAAGAAGGGAGGGCATATTGCTTTGCTGCTGTCGGTCCACTTAGTTTCCATTCATTTTCGCCGCAGAGGTTGCATATACTGAAATGAAATTTGGTATACAGATTTATCACATTAATATCTAGGTCAAGTTCTGTTTTGGGTACGATCGCACCATTTTTGACAGAGTTATGCCCCTTGGACTTAGAAAAATTCCAATTATTTGCAGTTTCCGTTCATTTTCTTTGCAACAGTTGCACATACTGAAATGAAATTTAGTATACAGATATATCAGGTGACTATCTAGGTCAAGTTCTGTTTTGGATGTGATCACACCATTTTTGACAGAGTTATGCCCCTTGGACTTAGAAAAATTCCAATTCTTTTGCAGTTTCCGTTCATTTCCTTCGCAGAAGTTGCACATACTGAAATGAAATTTAATATACAGATTAATCAGATTAATATCTAGGTCAAGTTTTGTGTTGGGTACGATCCCACCATTTTTAATAGAGTTATGCCCCTTGGACTCAGAAAAATTCCAATTATTTGCAGTTTCCGTTCATTTTCTTTGCAACAGTTGCACATACTGAAATGAAATTTAATATACAGATTAATCAGATTAATATCTAGGTGAAGTTCTGTGTTGGGTATGATCCCACCATTTTTAATAGAGTTATGCCCCTTGGACTCAGAAAAATTCCAATTATTTGCAGTTTCCGTTCATTTTCTTTGCAACCGTTGCACATACTGAGATGAAATTTGATATACAGATTTATCAAATAAATATCTAGATTAAGATCTGTGTTGGGTATGATCCCACCATTTTTAATAGAGTTATGCCCCTTGGACTCAGAAAAATTCCAATTATTTGCAGTTTCCGTTCATTTTCTTTGCAACAGTTGCACATACTGAAATGAAATTTAATATACAGATTAATCAGATTAATATCTAGGTCAAGTTCTGTGTTGGGTATGATCCCACCATTTTTAATAGAGTTATGCCCCTTGGACTCAGAAAAATTCCAATTATTTGCAGTTTCCGTTCATTTTCTTTGCAACAGTTGCACATACTGAAATGAAATTTAATATACAGATTAATCAGATTAATATCTAGGTGAAGTTCTGTGTTGGGTACATTTTTGACAGAGTAATTCCCTTTTGGACTTGGAAAAATTCCAATTTGGGGGGAGGGGGGCATAAGTGTTTTACAAACATCTCTTGTTTAATCCAATTTGAAAATATGTGTGTTTTCTTATCAATTAAGTTACTAAAGAAATATGTTGTGAACTTGGATCCTTACTGAATTGAACATATTGCTCTAGATTTGAGAATAGTACCAGTGGAATTGCTGCATAGAGCTGGCAGTTATTGAAATGTTACATGTGAATTGTCATGATTATACTGATGATTTCCTTTTTCTTTGCAGGGGCTGGACAATGTCACGTGGGAGACCCATAATGTCACATTAAAAAGAGTAAGTCTTATAATATCTTTTATTTTTTTATACAATGCAAGAGATATTCCAAGAGCTTACTTTTTTTTCAAGAGCTGGCACCAAAACTACATCTTGCAAAGAGATATATTTTTTTTTCTTTTAAATATGAAACATTGCACCATTTCAGTCTTGTAAAAATTCTGGTTAAAATGAAAAAAAATACAAATTTCTGGTTAACACAGGTTATGTATATAATATTACAGCTACGTATTATATGACTGCCAAATTCTTTCCGGATATGCTCCGTCATATTTGCCAAATTCTTGTGCCAGAAAGTTCCCTGCCAGGTAGATTACCTAACAGTTGACTCAGGTTTCCAAATATTCTGCATGTTCTGGTGTAACAGGAGTTTAAAAACAGATGGCATACAATTTTAGGCATATGTAACATTAGCATCCCTGAATCAAACTTTGACAAACTTATGTCAGTATTTCTTTCTTATAAACTTGGGTGATACGTTCATACTAAATAATATATACCGTATAAGCAGAATTTTTAGTGAGGATTTTATTTTGGCATTATTAGCGAGGGTTCTGAGATCGCTAAAATTAAATATCGCTAAAAATAAATGGTGTTTTATTTGTAATAGTTTCATTAGTAAGCATTTTAGAATCGCTAAAACTACTTCTCGCTAAAAATAAAATACCATATTTTAAGGACAAATTGCTAAATTTGCGTCTCGCTAAAATTTCCACTTATACGGTATTTTTTCCCCAAGATTGTGTCATTGAAGTATTGCTACTTTAATATGTTTACTCACGCAAAAAAAGAAACTGGTAGATGAAATCAGAATAGAATTAAAATTTTGAATATTTTCCATAAATTACAAAATATGCAAAATGGTTATTTGAGGAACGTACATATCGTCTAACCTTAAGACATATTCTAAGACAGAAGATTTTTTTTTTTTGAAGAATTAAAGTGATATGTGTTCCAGTTTTTTTTCTGGAATTCTAGAGGTATATAATGGGACTTTTAAGTATAACTTATTTTCTTGCAGAGCTAAATTAAATCTGTAATTTTCATTTTTTGTTTCAAAACTTAAAAACTTTTTTTTTACTTGCCAGGTGCCTGGATTTGGATTTGGAATAGCGGTCAGTGGGGGGCGAGACAATCCACATTTTGCTAACGGAGATCCGTCAATAGCTATATCCGACGTCCTGACCGCGGGCCCTGCAGAGGGCAGACTACTGTGAGTACCGGAAATATCTAAAAATAGCAGAAATATGATGTAAATTTGAATTTAATGAATACTAACAGTCTAATTTCTGTATCTTGAAACCGATATCTTAATATCATGGCTATGTCTAAGTCATTTGGAAGTCCAAATGACTTATTCTCTAAGTATTTTACCCTTGACATCTCAAATTATCAGATACATGTACATGTATCTCGAAGTTTTTCCTCGATTCCATTGAGTTTGAGATAACGAAGTTTGACTGTATTTTATTTGTGGAGTGAATTGGATAGGGTGACTCGCTACCTCAAAGTCGAGAGTGAATCAAGAAAACTTTTGTTTTAGTATCCTAAAGACTGAAACTGTCTATCAGTTGTAATTAAGTTAATGCGATGGACAGACTCTCTAGGAATAAGCAATTTGGATGGGATGGGGGTAGGAGGTCAAGTGATTTTTGTCAGCTGTTATGAAATTCAGTCTTAGGTATAGTGTAATTCATCCAAATGTCATAAATTAATTGTGACTGATAACTTTTATTGTGAAGAAAGGAAAGATAGTTCAATGTTGAAAGAGAGGATTTAAAGTTTTTACTGTCATTAGAGCTGTTTTGTGAAACAATTTAAAAGTTGACTGGTCTTTATTTGAAGAGCTAGTTCATAATAATTTTTTTAAGAACTTTTTTGTACAAGGAGATAAATAGTCTACATTTGAATTGGCACTTGGAATCGCCTTAAGTTGGAAGTTGATGTGAAGTGGACAAATGCTATACCTGCTAGTATATTAAAAAAGGCAAGCTGCTTTTAACATTATAAGATAAGATGGTAGAAATTTATCAAACGCTGACAAGTTTGTCAGCCAGAATGGCAGAATTCAGCCAGAAATTAGAGAACACAAGAGACTTGAACCAAATCAATACAGGTGATTGCAGCTCTGTATTAATTCTAATTTCCAGAAGAACAATTGATTGAACATTAATTTTATGTTTTTGACTCTGTCTGGTTTATTTGGAAAAATGAAAAGGCACTGTTGCAGGTTAGAAATGGAATACCGCTGGTCCTTTGTTTCTGGGAAGCTGTGTTTTAATTGGTTTCAGAGTGAAATTTCAAACAAGGCTGGGTTGAAATTTCATGAACTGGTTGTTATGACAGGAGATAGTATGTTCTGTCAGAGAGAGAGAGAGGTGATGTTTTGGAATTTCATACCATGGGGGCATTGGAAAAATGTGGATGATTTTTTGGCTGCTGGGTGTTTGAAACTGTGACTAATGAACACAATCAGTATAGAGAAGCCTCATCAATAATCTATTAGTTGTCCCCTCATATTGTCATGCCTGGAATTGTTGGTTAATGTTCACCTGTATGTGGAATGTGGATTAAATTTGTAGGGTATGTGTTTTTTTCCTGAGATTTTATTTTTAATCTGGTCTGTGTTTGATTCTATGAAAAAAGGAATTAATAAAAAGAGTGAAACTTTGTCTTGACAGGAAAGTTTTGTGTACAGCTATTAGACTTTGAAAAAATTGATATTTGCATTATAATGTATCCTAAATAATGACATGTGTTCATACCATAACTAGCATTACATGTAGTATGAAAAATTTGTCTGGATGCATGATATTGAAATGATGAACCCCTTTTGTGCAATGGATTGATGATTTTGTACATGTAATATGAAAAAATTTGTTTGGATGCATGATATGGAAATGAGAAACCATTATTGGGCTGAGGAGAGTTGATTTTTAATTGTTTATTTTTTGGTTTCAGGATAAACGACCGCGTGGCAACAAGGTCAACCTGGTCAGTATTACAGGGCTGTAAATATCTCAATTACAGTAATACTGTAAAGAAGTAAGGTAATTATACAGGCAAACAGGCCATCGCTGTACTCAAAGACAGTGGGAATAAGGTCAACCTGGTCAGTATTACAGGGCTGTAAACATTACAATTACAGGACTGTAAACATCACTATTACAGTAATACTGTAAATTTAACATTAGAATAGGTTGTCAAGTAATGTAATTATACATGCAAACAGGCCATTGCTGTACTCAAAGACAGCAGAAACAAGGTCAACCTGGTCAGTATTACAGGGCTGTAAAACATCTCAATTTAATAAAACTGTAAATTTTCCCAAAAAAATCTGGATTTCAAGAAATTTATATTTCAAATGCATCAAGACAGCTGTCAAGGACTTAGATTATGAAATAGGTTAACCTGATCAATATTTACAGGACTGTAACTTCTCATTTACAGCAATGGTGTAAATTTTACATTGGGAAGATTAATAATAAGTATGACATGACTGTTAAGGACACAGGTGACAATTAAGTTTCACCTGATTAGTATGATAGAACTGTAAACATCTCATTTACAGATGAATTTTATATTTCTCAGTGTAAGGACTGCTATTGAAAGAATCACAGAATAGTTGAACTTTATTTTATGGTGAATTTTTTCTTTTTTTATGGCAGGTCATAAGAAGACGTGTGTTGGTCCCTACTTACACAGAAATGGACAACAGTCCACTTAAAATAACACTCGCCCGCAAAAACAGACGAGATGGTAAGTATTACCTGTATTTCTTTGGGCTGTTTCAGAAAAAAAAATCTTGCTTCATGGCTCATGGATGGCAAGGGGGCTTGATCACATTATTAGTGGTGGTTCTTCGATATCGACGATATCGACAATATTATGTCGATATCGTATCGATATCGATCGTGATGATCACTATTAATTTGAAATACTTGGTACCATATATGAGATTTTGTGCTATGTCGATGTCGTCGATATCGACAATACCATGACGATATCGTATCTATATCGATCCTATTTGTAGAATTTATTCACACAGTGAGGTGTAACATAATTTTACAAATTCATTCATTATTAACATGAATATGAAATTAAATTATGATAAGGAAAGGGTTAGTGGTTATTATTGTTTTGGGTTAGGTTTAGAGTAAGATGTTGGGTGAGGGTGAAAGTTGTTAAATATGTTTTAAAAATAATGATTCGATATCGATACGATATCGTCGATATCGACGATATCGACAGTAGGGTAAACTCATTAATCAGAGAGTAAATAAGCACAAGCGTTGCATGAAGAAACACAGAGTTTATTGTCATGGGATATGTTAAAAGTAAAGATTTTGTATTAGGGTGAAGGTTGGTAAACTAATATGTTTTAATAATTCGATATCGATACGATATCGTCGATATCGATGATATCGATGGCAGGTACAATTTTCGTAAAAAGAAAGAAATTAAACATAAATACACATACAAAGTAACAGGGACGGTATTTACAAAGGACTGACCAAACACGATTCGATATCGAAGCGACATCGTCGATATCGACGATATCGACATTACATGCAGGGAAAGTCTTATAAAAGATAGTTTTCAGGTAACACATGTTAAAAACACACTACTAGTATTATAGATGGAAACCATGATTCTTTAAACAATCATGATTCGATATCGGCACGATATCGAGGGGGCAGAAAGTATTGTAATAAACACACAAGGATAGAGAAATATTATAGTGTAATGTGGTAATGGACATAACTCGGGGGGGGGGGCTTGTGATGATGATGATTCTTTACTGAGTTGTCAAGTGTAAAATTTTTTCACATGATCCATTGCTACTTTTATTACATCTTTTAGCCCTCTTTATAGGTAGTATTGCATGCTGATGCCAGATTTTTGATTTTGATATCTTCCATTTTAGCAAGCTTTTTAAATAAATTTACAAATTAGAGCAAAGAATTCTAATGTAAAAATTGAAATTATCCTGATATTAAATAAATAAAAACCTAGTTCTGCACAATAAGATGCTTTACCTACAACATATTTTCTGTTTCTGCTATAATGATTGATATCATAAACGTTTGTTTGACACAGATATTGGAGTGGTCCTGGGATGTAAATTTTACATCAAAGAAATCACGGGGAACAGCATAGCAGCCCAAGATGGAGGACTGAAAGAAGGAGACGTTGTTCTCAAGGTTTGTATAGGGATGCTTGAAATGTAAAAATGGAAAATGACTGAAAAATTTCATTAAAAGTATTTAATATATGTAACTGATTCTGAAAAAAGTTAAGTGATGGTTACTTTAAAGATTTCTGAAATAAATATGTTCTTTAATTAAGATTTTTTTTAAAAAGGCAGTTTTTTCAAACCTCTTTTTACTTCTTTTTGCAAAATTAATTTTTTGTGTTTTATTGCAAAACAAAAACTATAGCATGATGAAAGATACATACTGAGTCAATTTTTTGGAACAATAAAATAAATATTTGCTGAATTTTATATTCAGGCTTGTCATTAAAATTAAGTCACATGACTTTGAAGTTAACTCACATGATCAGTCACATGGTTTTATTTGTAGATTAACAGTACTCCAATAGAGAATCTATCCTTGGTTGATGCTAAGAAAATGATAGAGAAAACCAAGGATAAACTCCAGCTGTTTATCTCCAAATCTCGCTATGAGGACCGCCTACCATCCACAAACAAAGCTCAGGAGGACGGTAGGAGTTATCTCTCTTTACTGAAATTCTTCTATAAGCAAAAAGAAAAGGAATTTAGTATGCCTCAAGTAGTAGAATATAAGTGCACCTGTATCAGTGACGATATGCTGTTGTAGATCATCTGAATCTGATTTTTCTTTAATGATTTGAAGAGTTAGCTAACATTTCAGTGTTTAGATGTGAATACTTGTCATAACATGGTTTATCTATTGATTTCTTCCTGTTTGGTACCTGGGATTTATGTTTGTAATTAAGTTTAATAGATTCTAACCATTTTTCCAAACTTTTAATTTTAATATCCCAATACTCCTCTCTCTCTTATCCAAGTTGATTGGATGTATAGTCAGTAATACTTTTATTTCCTTTGGATCACTGTAATAAATGGGCATTTTCTGCATATCTCTACCAGTCATATTCATAACGCATCCTAATCCCCCCTCTTATGTACCCCAATGTGAATTGTCATAACATTAGGCGAGATCCCCTTTTTTTACCCCACAGAATATTCCCTAGGCTATGGCACTCTACAAGGGACCCTCCAGACTAAGCGGTCGGACATCGACAACGTCAACATCTACCGCCCCTCCCTCAGTAGTCCCGAGGAAGAGGCATATAAGGGGCATCACAACTACCAGGAAATTCCCCCCGGGGCGTACCCCGGCACTGAGCATGCTCGGTACGACGGGAGATACGTGTATGACCACGAGGCTCCGCCCCGACCTCCACTGCCAGACGAAACAGGTAGGTCATAGGTCAAAGGTCATTCATAATTTACCAGTAACAAGGAATTTCATTGCTTGAATCATACAGAAGAAGATGCATTATTGATTCTGTGAATCATTTTTCATTTCTGAGATTAAAATGTCAATTGCAAAACAAAGTAAGAAGCATTATGACTCCTTAAAATTCTGTTATCAAAACAATAGAGAAAAGTCTGCTATGAATAAAACAGATTTATGAAATGTGAAATTTTGTACTGCATAAATTTTGGGCTTGCTTTGCATATGAACTAAGACTGAAACCAACTGTGTAACATAATGTAAAAAAATTCTGTAAATTTTCTATATTTTCCCTTAGATGCCCCACCCAGACCCCCCAGTCCGGGTAAAGAGCTGCTGAGACCTGATGACTTCTACTCCCCCCGAAGTCCCCGCACCCCCCACTCTCCCACAGCAGAGGGCTACATGAGTGACCATGGGAGAATGGACCCCCACATGCAACGGAGGCACCATGACGAGTAAGAAATTAATCTTATTTTTAAAAAATACTCTGACGAGTAGGAAAGTTTGTTGTTTTATTATATGTTTGGCTTTACGAATAAAGTGTGATGCAGTTTTTAGGTAGAAAGAACTACAGTGATATTATCAGCCTGTTTAGAATTGTGAATTTTGGAACCAAAAAAAAAAATCATCATGAAGTGTTTCTTTTTTTGAATGCTATGTATTATTAAGAGCCAGTCCGCGAGAAAACCATGCAAAATTCAAAAAATCGTCCAAATGGAAGGTTGCAACTTGGGAGTTTTTAGTGGCTTAAAATTTTCTACATAAAGGTAGAAGTCAGAATATCCACAAAAAAATGTCGAACCCTGCATCTATTTTTAGTAACAGCTCATTTGCATATTTGTCGAAAATCACACAAAATTTAATGGAAAATGTATACAAATTGATCAAGTCAAAAAGATACCTTTTGTCATCAGTTTATTTTCAAATTTTGTTTTATTTTCAAAGTCATGGTCCAATTAACACAATTAATGAGGAAAAACTTAATTCAAATGAATATTCTATTTTTTACACATCTATTTATAGATCCTAAATAAATGAGTATGATTTTTTGGCAATAAATGCTCGTTTCTCTCAAGACCAAGGTTGAAATTAAATTAAATTAATTCTTACTTTAAGAATGATCTAAGGTCTACTTTGTATTAAAATATTAAGCTTGGGAAATAATATCTATATGTTGTAAATTAACTTTGAAATACCATATTTTGCTACAATTTCACATATTTTAAATAACAGTCTTATACCATATTTTAGGATTTTTTTTATGGTATTTAAAAGAAAAAGAGAAGATTCTTAATCTAATATATTTTTTAGAAGAGGAATAACTGATTTGGATACTTCATATTACTTTCCTTTGCTTATTTAAACATTTTAGCCCCTTTTTACCAATTCGCTGGAGTTAAATTGTTATCTCCCCTTGTTGGAACTCTTTAGTATTATTGGGTAAAAAGTGACAGGTATGTCAATATATGGAAAGAAAGTCATGTATGATCTTTTTTTTCTTCACTTAGGGAGTTGTTGTGGAACATTATTGCACTATGAAAGAGGGAAAACTTATTTTAAGATATCTGAATGTAAGACAGAAACAACAACTTAGCTTGAATAAACAAACAGCAGGCCCATAGGAAGCAATTTCAGTGTGGTGGAGGGGGGGGGGGGCAACCTACACTGTAAAAACGGTGTTTAGAATCTAAACGCAAATCTAAACACATTTTTTGTATCACTTTTTTTACACGTTTAGCTCTAAACATGTCTCATTTCTAAACACATTAGACTTCATGTGTTTAGTTGCTAAACATGTTTAACCCCTAAACACTTAAATCTAAACACATTTTTTGTTTCACTTTTTTTACACGTTTAGCCCTAAACACGTCTCATTTCTAAACACATCAACATTTAAATGTTAAGTTGCTAAACATGTTTAGTTCCACAACATTAGATCCAACACAATAGTTTAATTTATATACTATTGCATGAAAATATATTTTTAGAAGAAAAACATTATTAAATAAGTTTCCTATAAATACGTTAGCACATTTAAGAACTGGTGTTTACATGTACATACAAAAACCAAATTTTGAACTTGAAAAGTACCCATATTTCAGGAAAGAAAGAGCTAACTATAACATTTTTGAACATTCAAACTTGTATTTATTTTGAAGAATGTTAAATTCAATATACATATAGGTCCAAACATGTAATTTTTTTGCTCGTTTCAATATTATTCAGCTCAGCAAACATGCAATTATTCCTCATGTCTGTAACAAATTAAAGTTAATCAAGTTTATTAATTTCCTGCAAGTCTTTCACTAGAAACACACGATCATATGTTTTCGTCCATGACTGCCAGAAAGGAATCCATTTCCATTATACGAATGTTTTGTGGCTGTTTAAAACTATACCGAACAGTAGACTAGACTTCACAAAATTTAGTTTCCTCTAAAATGTAAGCAGTGCTGAAGTCATGTACAATTGCGTGGACTTGGAAATGGACATCAGCTACTCTGAGACGTGTATTTTTGCTTCGATCTGGACCATATCCTGTCAGAAAAAAATGAAATTATACTAAAAATATGCCCCTTGCTGACTGAAAGCTAAACTAACTAATATTATGCAACTTTTATTGAAATCCATGTAACTATTATGTACATACACATGTATAATACTGATATCGATATATATATTTTCAATGACATTCTATATAGCTCCTTTCTAGCTTTCAGAATGCAAAAATAAAAGAAGGAAATCTTGATCTACAATTGTGTAATTGCATGTTTATTTACGTTTCTCATTCTTGTCAATTTATGTCAAAATAATAAAAGTAAGCAGACCTTTTATTGTGGTAATATTGCCTTTCGAATGCCTTTCACAATCCCTTCATGGTTATCACTTTGGTTTTGATTCGCTACCTTTAATCCATCTTCTTTGGCTTACAGTGGAATTTCCTTTGTTTCAATAACCGCTCTATTAACGTTCAAATATATTACGCGTCATTTCCGGGAAGATAACCCTGTTTGTCACAGAAAGTGTTCAATTTTTAAACACTTAAATCTAAACATGTCTTAAATCTAAACACGTTTAGATATAATACATGCTTAGACGTAAGTGTTTAGCCGTTAAACACAATCTTAAACATGTTTAGGTCTAAACATGTAATGGAAGTGTTTATTTTCTAAACGCAGTTTTTACAGTGTACATTATCAACTATATGCCAAGAATTCCATAGAAAGTACCGTAAAAAAAATAAAAGGTCATTAGATGTTGGTTTTTTTTTTTTATTTGGGGCATATACATGTAGTAGCTATGTTTTCTATAGGGTTCTGTCCTCGGGGAATCTATTATATATTAGTATTTCACGGTAATTAAGTTACAAAATTTTTGAATAGGAAATTAAATCAAATAATAACAGAATATTTTTAATCAAAATATACATTTGATATTTTGTTTCTGGCCCCCGTTCAAGTTCAAGATCATTTTATTCACTCAAACCATTTCAGGTACATGAGGACCATGAAGAATATTTACGACATATAAATTCAGGTCGTATGTACAAGTATATGATATACGTAATCAGAATATGAAAAGGAAAAGAAAAACACATATGAAACATGTAATAACGAAATAAGCGAGGGGAAAAATCACAGAGGACTGACTAATTAAATCATATATATTCAGTATAAACGTACCTAGTTTTCTTAGTGTCTTAGCAACTTGTTTTGCCATCAGTTATGAAAATATAAGAATACAAACAGGTATTTGATTGCATACTCTCAACAAATTCAAAAATAATTGGTAATTTCAATCTACATGTAAATTGTTTATGTTTCATAAATTTAGTGTGTTTTTGAGTTAACCAAACACCATCATTCCTAGGAATATTTTTAATTTTTTACATTACATACTTTAAACTACTGGGTTACGTAACATTCATATATTGATAAAGTCAGATCTCCCATTAAAAATCATCAGCTCAAAAGGAGATGCCACCGATTAAGGTACCCCACCGATGAAAGGACCCTCCATGATAAATATTGGCAAAATTATTCGGGGGATGGAGGGTACTACCCCCCCCCCCCCCCCCCCAAGGAAAATATGAGTCGTTACTGCAGCCAAAACGTTGCCAGTTTGCAGTACAAAGTGATAAATATTTAAAAGCGGTTATAAACATGATAAAAGACTGGATTCATATACATTCAAATTGGGGGGGGGGGGGGGGGCTATCAAATTTTGTCAAAATTATTTTCAAAACATTATTAATAAGATTGTATAAGGCTTTGTAAATTAATATTTGATACTTTTTCTGAATAACCATAATGGTATTTTTAATACCACTGCAGAGAGAGATAATTTTTTTTTTAAATGTTATATGTATCCACTGAAAACAGTTGGGGGAGGGGGCATGTCACTAAGACTGACTAAGTCGATCAAGGTCAGGATATTAAATATACGAGTGTATCTAGTACCCAATCGTTTAACCCAATCCACTTCCCCACAATTTACATACTTATATTGAAATGGATAAAATAATGAAAAATGATAAGGGTTCTGGAGGAGTGTTGCTAAAACGAGGAACGGAAAACGTAACGGAAAACGTATTATTTTTTTTATTTTTAGATTAAATCACTTGAAATATATACACAAATTTATAAACAATATATATTTTATAAATTCAATCCCCCATTATTTAATTCAAGTTGATTGATTCGTGTTCATAAAATCTCTTATTTACGAAAATCGCAGTCATAGCAGTGACGTAGAAACGATTTTGAAAGGCTCGGGGGAGGGGGGGGGATAAAATTAAACTTACCTGAAAAGAATTTGCCAAGCGAAAAAAGAAGACAATTATTTGATTCGGGAGGTGGGATAAGAGTAAACTCCAGCATCTTTCATTTTCTTAAATTCCTTTATGGAGTATTTTGTATAACATCTCCTGTCAGTATTTTTATAAGATTGTACCAATTTAAAATTGGCAGAAAGCGAACAACTTAGTGAAGGCTCAAATTTTATATGTTCAAGACTGAAAATTTATATGAATGATACTGAAATAGAGTCTGTTTGAATTTAAATACTTGTAATTTCCCTTTTGTTAATTAAAAAGAAACTAGCTTACAAAATGTAAGTAACATGAATATTCATATGATTGTTGAAAAATTGCAAGTAAGCCAATACAATTTATTATGCTTTTTTTCATTTCTAAACAATTGGCAAAATGCTAATCCTCATATTAGGGGTAGTTTCTGAAAATTTAGTTTAATTTTTAATTTTAACATTTTTCAATTAATTATTATTTCAAAGAAAATTGTTACATGTTTCAATATCTAACAATTGTTTATAATTTAAAGTTCTATATTTGACTTTGTAACCCATTTGAGTTTGAGCAATTTTTTCGAAAATTGGCAATTTGTAAATCCCCATATCTCAATTATTTATTATTTCCCAAGCTCAATATTTTGCAAAGATAATGTTTAGAGTTATATTTGTACAATAAAATCAAAAAAATTAATTTCAAAGATTGGTCTTGGAAGATTTGGGGCATTAAATTTGTAATACTTTTGGCAATCCTTGAAAATTGGCATCATGCCAATTTTCAAGAGTTGTAAGCCCTTTGATATATTGCATATTTGATTATGATAAATGTCAATTTTGAAAGAACATAGTCTTATGTTACTTAAAAATACCTTAATGGAAATGCAAGTTTAATTTTGAGTAAAATAAATCAAATGTGAATTTTACCATTTTTCTTGAATTTTTTAAGTGCATTTGCACTTAAATGTGCAAAAAGGAGGTGGCGCTGCCTACGGCTGCCATGTTGAATGATGGGAATTTTTTTGGTCATTTTTTAACAACATATTATAAAGTCTAACTACCCACCAAATTTCATTAAGATATGACAACCTTCAATTTGGACAGTTCTGCATGGTTTTCTCGCGGACTGGCTCTTAATAAAAGTTAAAATTTTTATTTTAGGAGATATGTGGGAAAGAGAAAGGACATAGTGTAAGTAACATTCAAAATTCTGTCAATGATTATTATTGGTTTAAACAAAAATAAAGAATCTCACTAGAGGGCGATGACAGAAGATTGTTATGCCTCTGAATAAAAGCTTCATAATATGCTGTTATCTACTGCCAAGTGAATAAATCAGGAATTTCAGATGATGATCATGTGTAAAACTATCTGTCATTTCAGGCTTGATCCCCGGTTTGTTTATTTCGAGAAGGAGCCAGAATTTGGTCTGGGATTGAGGCTAGCGGGAGGGAATGCCACTGGTATATTTATAGCATCAGTCCAGCCAGGAAGTGGTGCTGAGGCTGTGGGGCTCACTGAGGGAGACCAAATACTGAAGGTAAATGAGGCTCCCTAAAGGGAGTTAAAAATGTTAAACATGGTCATAGCATAATGTATTTTGCAGTTTATTCTTTTTAGCTGCTTTTGGTAAAAAGCTGTCTTGCTATACCAGTTATTTTAATTTGCTAATGTCTGATGTGCATATATTTATATCTATCATATTCAGACATGCCCAAAATAAAATTTACACTTATGCTGCCAATTCTTGCTGATTATCTTTCTCGCTTAATAAAGTCCATTTACAGCATTACTGGATAATATGATAAACGATACCATGATTTGCTTCAAAGTAAAAGTATTTCTCAAGGTTTCCTGTACATTATACCAAATTTTTTTTTATAGTGACTCAAGGTTGAATTGTGCTATTTTTAGGCCAACGATGTGGAGATCCCTGGAATGACCCGAGAGGACGCGGTGACCTACTTAACCAGTCTGGAGGGGCGGGTCTCCATGGTCGTCCAGTACAAGAGAGAGGGTGGGTAAACTTAACATAACGGGGAGATTTTCATGAAAGGACCTTAAATTTACCATTTCAAGCTTCTGTAAATTTTTGTTGTGTGATTTAAGTTAGATTTTTAGGTAATTAGGGAGGGGAATGAAAACACTTAATATTTAAATTTCATCAATTTCTTTTCTTTTCAGAATATGACAGGATTATATCAAGTCATGAAGCAGGAGACAGCTTTTATATAAGGTAAAAAACAAAGGAAAATATTTTTCATGTGCTTTTACAATTTTAAAAGACAGCAACTTGCATTTAAGTTTGCTCAAAATTTGATGAAAAAATAGAAGCTTAGACCTTCATGCAGTCCTAGAAGATTACAGATTTTTAAGAGGAACAAAATATAATTCATAATTGGAATTTGAGAATTACAGTTCATTCGTACAAGTCTAAAGATCACAATTAAAGGGGCATAACTTCTACAAGTATTATAGAAAAAAATATAGTGCAGTTGAATTTCATAAGAAAAATAAAATGATTTCATTAATTTTCAGTCATATGTCAATTAGTAATATTGAAATTGATTTTCAATTGTGATTGTTATTAATGTCATTTTTTCAAATTTTCAGAACCCATTTCGAATACCAGGCCAAAGATGTTGGTGAACTGTCCTTTACAATAGGGGATATCTTCCACATTAAGGACACACTGTTCCGCGGTGTGGTTGGATACTGGTTAGCCATGAGGATAGGCAGGAATAACCAGGAGACCCAGAAAGGATTCATCCCCAATAAGAATAGGTAGGGAGTAGATATTGCATCAAGAGTGTTTTCGTTCACAACTTCACAGTGTCAAAGTTTAAGTGTGGGGCTAGTAGATCTTTGGCTGAGCTGTTCAATTTTATTATCAATCAGTCTTCCACCTAGTTTTATGGAAAGTTCCAAAACACTTTGCAGATATGTTAGTTACAAACAGTTGTTTAAGTTTTATCAAATTCTGTTTACACAAACTGGAACTATCTTCTCTTAGTATACATACACTTAGCAGGCAGATTAATGATGTTATTTGTGCATTCGTATTATTTTGTCATTTATTCATAACAGTCAATCTTATAAAATGACTTTTGATATCCTCAAAACTACATGAGAATAGTATGCCAGCTAAGATTCCCATGTTTCCTGTCTTCCAGTGCTGAGATGCTGTTTTCAGCCTCCACAAATACAGAGTCAGAAAAGGAAAACTCCCCCACTAAAAGTCGCAGCCTCATTTTCAAGAGAAAGGCAGCCAGGCGCAGCAAATCACTGGGCAAAGACCATTGGGAAGATGTTATTTTCTGTAAGTTTCTTTTGGGGGTGGATCAAGAATTTTACTTGTATCAGTTATTGAAAACATTGGTGGATCCAAGAATTATCTGAACATTGATTTTAAAAATTGTATTGAATTTATTTATTGACTGCAAGTTTATAAGGATGAGAGGTAATTATTAAATAGGTGAGATTACGGTTCGAGAGAATTTTGATGACTTCTTTTTTGAGGATAAAAGTTCTTTTGAATAAATCTTCCCATGTGGTTTTTCTTAGCTGAAAATGGGGGTAAGTGTGCTAAAATGTGTATACCATGCTTTCCTGTTTTCCTTTATGATGTATAATAGAATGAATTCAAATCCATTAAAGTGTATTTAAGGCACAGATCTTTTTTTGTAGCTGTCTAGATGTCAGTTGCTTTCGAAGTTACATGTACATTTCTTTTGAGTTCATGAATGCAACCAGCATTTGATTCATTTGAATTTATCAAACCAAGCACTTGTTTGAAAAAAATATACAGAAATTGCACGTAGACCAATATTATTTCTCATCAGCTTTCATTCCCCTTGCAGCCATCTTCTAAAAAATGTTTTTGAGTTGAATGTCATAAAAAATATTTGTCACCTTTACCTGCATAGCAAATCATGAAACTAGCTGGATTTTCCATCCTTGGTTTTGCAGAAGAAATAGCTTGTGTGATTTTTTAGACCTTTGATCATCATTTAGTGCAACATGTATACATATTAAAATATATATTCATCACATTATTCATCTTAGCTGAGTAGTGGTACTTTTTCATGCTTTTCGCATCAAGAACCAAACAGTCTTTGAGCGACGTTCGATTAAATATCATACGTAAGATTTAAGATTAAACACCCACCCCAATAATACACATACATATATCTTTCCTCAAAACAAAAATTTACAGAAGATAGCAACTGGATTTAAAGTTATTCGAAATTTCATTGATTGAGAAACAGAAGCCCAGAACTTTAGTCTTCTACGTTTTTTGAGACAAAAATATCATTCATAATTGGAAATACCAAGTTTGTTCTAAGATTTAATTATTTATAGTCTATTATAAAAAGAATCTTTTGACTATTGTCATTTCCTGGTCTTTAACTCTCCTTCATGTACAGTGTATATGTTAATTTTTTCCTAATTCATCTGTCGGTAAATATTATGTAACCAATTTTATTTCTTTCACAGTTTATTTTCATAAATCTTGTAGCTCTAGCATTTAGCATTATCACATCACCAGTGCTATAGCATGGAGCAAAACAGGGAAATTTAGGATTATGATAAATCATGTTTCTCTGTTTTTAAGATTTTCATATAAAGTTCAGCATGTTAGTCAAATTAAAAAGAATATATACAATTAGATGGATTTAAATTTTTTGCAGTATGTAAGAAATGTACACATCTTAAATGAATCCAAGACTAGTGCATTTCTTTCAGATAGTATCCTATTGTTTAATATGTAATACTTTGATTAAATTGTTGAAATATTGTATTTTGATTTTTTTTCCAGCCAATTTAACGACAAAGTTAACTTAAAAAAAAATATTTGTAAAAAAAAACATGTAAATAATAGAAATAACAGCATATGAAAGAGTGAAACATTACGCAATTTGATCATTTTAATTGTGACGTTATTGTGTATTCAAGGGTACTGTGACGTGCCTGAAGCGTTAAAAAAACATATTTACATTTAAAAAGGGAATTTTTGAGGTTTAATGATTTATTTTATATCATATTTTCTTAAACAAAATATTATAATTGGAGATTTATCAAGGACAAAAATTGTCAAAATATTAATAAGTAAAATATCACAGACCTTAATGTGCAGTTATTAATGTATTGGTGTGCATTTGTATATACTAATCTTAATTCTTGTCAATTTTAAAATTTCAGCTGGATTTGTTAGACCTGTGGTCATTTTTGGTGCACTGGCCGATGTGGCCAGAGAAAAACTTTTAAAAGAATTCCCTGATCAATTTGAGTCACCTCGTAAGTAAATTTAAATACTAGGTAAGTAGCTGTAGCATGTATGTGCTTGTTCACAAATAATGTAGAAGTATCTTCACAAATTTCTGGTTGGTGGATACTTTGAATTTTCAACATTGAATTTTTTTTTTTTAACAAGGTTAATTTTTTTTTTTTTAATTTCAGAGGCTGATGCTAACAGCCCAGGGGGTAATGACCAGAGAAAATCGGGAATCATTCGACTTGGTGCAATCAAAGAGATTATTAATAAGGTATGATGAAAGAAGCCTCTTCATAAACATAAAAAGTTTAGGGGGGAGGGGTTATGATTAATGTGTGTCAATTTGGCAAAAATCATTTTTAAATTTAAAAAAAATAATTTACGCTTGCTGACACACATTTTTGCAAATAAAGAAATGTGTATAAAAAAGGGAATTGTATTTATTGATAACTTAATCATTTTAAAAAAAAAGAATGTTTGAAACATACAAAGCTTCAATTATGTGGAACAAATGATAATCCTTTGGCCTATACAAATAACAGTACGTATAAAATATTTGGAGATAAAACAATATTTATGTCTTTTAGATTGTTACAGAAAGGTTTTCAATATAGAAATGAAACTCACACTTGAATCTTCATTGATTTTGTGTACAATTTGATCATCGAAACTAACTATTAGGTCATGATTATAAACCAAAAATTAAACTTACCTCTTATTGTTCACAGAGAAAACACTGTCTGTTGGACGTGACACCACACAATGTAGATAAGCTGAACTATGCCCAGTATTACCCCATTGTGGTATTCCTCAAGGCAGAAAACAAGACCATAGTCAAAGAGTGCCGAGCCAAGTTTGCCAAGGGCTCCACTAAAAACCACAAAAAGCTGTTTGAACAAAGTCAGAAACTGGAGAAATTGTATCCTCATTTATTCACTGGTGAGTGTTTTTTTTTTCAGTTCTACCAGATCAAATGGATTAAAACTTTACTAAGAGAAACTTGCCAGTTGATGTAGGACCATTGTTAGTTAAGATTTTTCAGACCTTTTGATTTAAGAGTTCAAAGCTCAACTAAAATTGAATACTGCAGTACATGGGAACATTTTCTTACACAAGGCTTTTATCAGCACAAACTGTTTAATGTATTAATCATCTGGAATAGGTAGTATTGCAATTGTGAAAAATATTGTGGATTTAATGGATATAATGAATTAGGGTTATTTCAAAGTGAAATCTTCCGTCTCTGGCACTTTTGTTTGAAATATTATGACTATATTATATTACTGTTATATTAATAGACAGCCACCATCAGTCATAACAGTACAGAGATCTGGTACCAGCGGATGATACAGATGGTCCTTATTACTGTATTATATTAGATTATCTTTTTCTGTTGACAGCCACCATCAGTCATAACAGTACAGAGATCTGGTACCAGCGTATGATAGAGATGGTCCAGCTCCAGCAGACCCAGCCCATCTGGATGTCGGAGCACAAACCCGAGGACAACGTAAACGATGACTTCCTCTTCCCTATGGGCAGCAGAGCTAGCTATTCTCCCCAGCAGGAGAACGAGCCCAGCACCCCCACCAAGGCCCCCCGTGACGACTTTGATGCCTCCCCCAAGCACAAGAAGCGTCTGATTCGGTCGTCCTCTGACCCCAGTATTAACACCACCGATCGTGTCCCTGGCATTCCCCCTTATCCAGCACCCCCCAGCTACCACCGATCTGTGAGTCTGTGTGTGTGGGAGGTTAAGGACCTTCTATACTCTTAAAAATGAAATATTTGGGGGGGGGGAGGGACATTAAAAAATTATGTTGTGCAAAGATTTAAAAATTTCTCTCATAAATTTACCCTGAGAGAAAACATTGACAACAATGAGTATGGAAATAAGACTTCAAACAATTCATCTAGCTTCAAATTCACTTTAGATCTAAGGGCAGATCACTCTGACTGCTTAAAAATACTTCAGAAATGGCCAGCAATTGATTAGTGTATAGAAGGTCCCTAATATTCCATGTGCTTTTATAGGAAACCTGTGATTTCTCACAGAAGATGCACAATAATCTAAGTTTGAAAGAAAATGAATTTTTAACTATAAATGATCAAAGATTTATACCTCAGCAGCATCATTAGCAGACATAGCACCAGGCTTCAGTTCTGGAAACAATGCCTAAACAATGCCTAAATATTTCCTATCACTTTCCCTGGAAACAAATTCTTTCAATTAAAAGAAATTTATTTTTTTTTTCAAATAAAATTTGTGTTTCATTTTTCTGATGTGAAGTTTCTACCTTTTACAGCCTGCCTCTCCACATGGGGGATTGATGGATGACAGGAGATATGTAGATTGTAAGTGGAAAAATTTGAATAATTAGGAGAAATTTGCATAATCTATTCATGAATTAAAAAGTTATTTAATTCATTGTATGCTTTAATGTTTAAATGCCACTATTACATACTTTTCATTTAATATGTAAACACATATATAGCATTATTAAATTCTTTTGCCTTGATTGCTTCTTGAAGGGTTTCAGACACAAAGTTGATTCATGTTTTTTTAAAATTGAAGATAAATTTTAAATTTTTTAAAAATCCCAGTAAATAGAAAAGGCATTTTTTCTGAATTTAAAAAAAAAGCATCTGCCATCAACAAAACACCTAATTTTACATAGATCTGAGACTATATTTCAGTGTTTTGTATGGTGCATGTGATACATGTAATGGGCAAAAAAAAACTGATTAAATAAAAAAAAATCTTTTTACTTTTGCAAAATTTTTTCAGTTGGGGGTATTTCAACGGGTAAGGCAATTCCAAACAAACTATAATTTTATTTTGGTCTTGCCTTGATTGCTTCTTGAATATTATCACAAAGTTTATTCATGTTTCTCTGATGAATATTCATGATCTTTAATAGTTGACCGCCATTAAAATCAACAAAAAATTGCAGAGAGTCTTCCACCCGGCCAGTTCCCACATTCACGCTCCATCGATCCCTATGCCACAATCACTCCACATGAACGTCTACGCAGCAAAATCCCAGAAGATGGTAACATTATAATGCATATATCTGCACCTTATTCAGACATTTGTATTCTGCACAATATTCAGTTGTTCCTATTCAACGGGTAGTTAAATATCCCCCCTTGCTTAAACCTGTTGTCGGTGTGTTTGTAAGTTCTTTGAAAAAGCTTGCTTGTTATTGTAATGCTAGCTAATAGAAGGCATGTTGACTTTCAATTTGAATTATTTTAATGCATTAAAATCAACAAAAAATTGCAAAAGACTAAGGGCCCTGGCAACACCTGGTCCATAACCTAACTTTTTTCATTTTCATGATGATAGCAGAAATAGTATATGTACTTGACCGTGTAATACTCCTACAATATTTTTGTTTATTTTAGGTCAGTGGTACAATCCGGCCTATGATGATCGAGGGCCTCAGAGATTTAATCCAGATTATCATCGCTCTGAACCAGATCTGGGGCGCCACATCAGCCATAATCGTCCATCAACTGCATCACTGCCACCACCTCAGCCCCACCAACCCCACAGTCCAGCCTCAGGCCCCCCGCCTCACCCACAGCATTCACAGGTAATGTCTGCCCCACCAACCCCACAGTCTAGCACCAGGCCCCCCGCCTCACCTACAGCCCATCACCACACACCCCCCAAAAACAGAAAGAAATCACATACCTTGAATATGAAAGAGAGGATATTGAAGATGTCTATAAGTTTGAAAGAAATGCAGTAACTGGTGTTTTTCATTCATTAAACATAAGCCAATATGAGATTTAAGAAATAATATCAAGGAAAGAAATTTAGCAATGCAGATGATAAAATGGAATAAAATCTAAGATATGGCATAAAATGGTGATTATGGAATTGAATAATGAATTATTTTACCACCAGCATTACAAATTTTTATGATTTTGAATTAATTTTTTCTCTTTCACAATGACAGCCATTCCAAGAAAATGCCTCGAGCTACAGCAGTGACTCTTACTCTCGTTACACATCAAATCCCGTCAATCGTCATGATGATTCAAAATTACGAGAGAAATTCGGCAGCATGGCGGTAGCAGGTAAAGGAGAGAGGTCAAATTCCCACAATCCCTACAGATTTACGCGGAGTACGGCGAACCCCGTTAACACCGCCAACGTAGACAAATCTAAACTGTCCGACCTGTCAGCTCGCTACAGGTAGGTGGCACTTTTTCATTCAGTCTTTATCATATTCATGGAAGATTTTGGAATGTAAAATGTAAATGAGAAATTTGCTTATATCCTGTAAATGTCAGTGCTAAATGTATTAAAGTACATTTAAATTTTATCAATATTTTCACCCTTATTTCAGTTAAATAGTGCACATTTACTTACTCTAAGAAATAAAATTATATATATCTTAGTTTGATCTTTGGATTAATGAAAAATCTAGGTTTAATATGAGTAATAACAGTTACTTTCTTATTTGCACTTTTATTTACTTTTGGGATTGTGTGAATCTAAAGTTTTCTTTTTTCTCTTGATTGTGTGGAATTTTAATGACTCTAACAGCATTAATTATTAATTTTTGAATTTGAATTTTAACTTTAAGCAGTATGAAATTAAAAAAAAAAATAGACCAACAAAAAATTTCTCCCTATATATCATTTTAAGAAAGTTCCAAATAAGCAAAGATTGGTTTTTGTTTGTGCATTGTGTGTCTTTAGCAAGGCAAGCCTATAGGCTTTTTCAAAGCTAGACAGCGCAAGTTAGAAATACGTAAAAAATATTGAAGTCGTCAAAGAATGCAAAGAGACTTTGAATTTATAAAGACTTCATTTTCATTAATCATCAATGCAGGAAGACTTTTTTTTTTTTTAGATTATTACTTTGGAATTATATCGATTCCACATTTCAATACTATAATACTCATATAAACAGGATAATCCAAATATTATTCTATAATCACAAAAAAAATATCTAAAAAATGGAATAATATATATATTCCACAATTTATTTATAATCCGGATTGTCACTAAAGAGAGAATTATATATGCTATATTCTATGTAATCCCAATATTTATTTAAAAGAAAAAGTAAAAAAAAAAGTTTTATCAAAAGTTTATATAAACATACTTTTTCATGCTCAGTGTGTAATGAACACAAACTATTTTTGGAATTTATGAAAACAGCAGTTGATTAATAAACTTAGTCATGTGATTGACAAAACTATATTAAAACTATATTTTTCCTTAACAAAAAATCTTATCCCATCCTTGAGAATTATCTAAATTTTATCATCTCTCATGCACATCTTGAAATTCTTAAACTCAAAAAAATCTCAGAATCACTGAAGATGAGCAAAGTGAAAAAAAACAAAAAAAAAATCCAATTAAAAAAAAAAACAACAAACAAATAACTAAAAAAAAACACAACCTATAAAAGCAAGTTTGAGGAAAAAATATTTTGGGATATTTTCTAATTAGTTTTTAAATATTTCCATTTCATCAACATTTAAACTATAATATTTGTACATCTTTTACCAAAAATGACTTTTCATAATGAAAAACCCAGTCATCTATGTGCCATTCATTAGCATGCAGTAACTGCATAATAAAATTTAAAATTTTATATTCTGGCATGTTCTATATAGACCAAAACTCCAAATGCTTTCCTCCAATCCCGTAATAAATATAAATTTTATTTAGATACCCTTATAAAACATGCCTTTCACTACACAACATTTTGTACATTTAAGGTTTTCAGACATTATTTTCATCTGAACTTGGCAGGAATAATTGGAATATTTTATTTCTGGTAGTAGTATTCTAGTATGCAAAAAATATCTACCAAAAAAAAAAACACCCATGATTTTTTCCAGCAGAAAAGACGAGCAGCAACCTTCACGCAAACAGTCACTTCCATCTCCCACCATTTCACCCCCAGTCAATCAGCCCCAAGTATCCTCCGTACCTTCCCATCATGCCCCATTACAGGATGGGGCGCCACTGAGAGTGAAAAAAGAGCCACCGCCCGTGCCCGTCAAGACTTATCACCTGAGAGATAGGGGGATAGAGCCAGATGATCTCAAAATTCGAAATTATGAAAATTCCAACAGGTACTCAGCCAGACCCAGTTTTGTTTGAGTAGAGATTGAAAAGGGAGGGAATTCTGTAAACTTCCTGTTGTCTGTAGTTATCCTTCCTGAAATTTCTTTTGTTTAGTGAATGTTATGTTGACTATTTTTCTTTTTCTAGTCATGTACATATTTAAATTTTCTAGAGTAGATTTTCCTTGACAATAGTGTAAATTTTACTGAAGTTTTTCTTGGAAAGATGATTTAAATTCTTGTTTAGATTTATTTCTCTGAAAATAACTGTAAAAAGACTTCACATAAGATACTTTTTCCTTGAAAAGAAAAACCCATAAAGCATGAAATAAGAAGTAAGATTACAGTAAGGTTTACAGTATAAAATAGAATTAAAGTTTACAGTATAAGATAAAGTTTACAGTCTATTTTGCAGGGAAAATTTACTCTCCACCATCTTTTTCTATGGGTGTCTTTCCCCACATTCTTTCTTTTCAGCACACATTTTTATTTCACATACACAAGACAAAATGTTCTTACCAGATCTAACAGATTTAATAATCAGTTTAATGTATTAACAGAGTAATAATAAAGAAAAGTGCTTACTCCAGACAACCATTGCAATTTTTTCTTTTGTTTAGTGAATATACTCCAATGACCATTGTCTCTTGAAGTTATTTGTAAAAAATAAGAGGTACATACCTTATATTATTGAGAAGCATGCAAACTATAATGTTGGGATTATGAAATCAAAAGTTCTCTTAAAGTCACTTAATTAAGAAAGATAAACTTGCAATGGTTTAAGGAACAAATTCATCAGAAATGTATGTGTTTTGATTGGCTGCTCCATAAGCTTGCTTAAGACATGATGTCCTAGCATGCTATGTTTATGGTATTCTGTTCATCATCAAAGGTTGGTTACTCTTGGTGATTCATTAATGATCAGATGATACTTCATGGATACTTTGGAATCAGATGTAGTCAATAGCTGTTATGACTCTCTTAAAGTCTTTATATCATGATAACTGAGATATCTTAAACCAACTTTGAATGTGTGTGAGAAATATCTGAAAAATTTTCAACCCTCTTTTACAATTGTACCTGTGAATATTTTTACTGCAAAGCATTAATTCCACTGTTCATTGATGTAGAATGATTTCTTATTAAAATGTAATCATTAATTGGTGCTGATGCAGATCAGCAAGACAAATTAGAAATAAAAGTTGTCATCAAATAATTTTTGGTTTAGAGTAGACAATTTTTTTTTAATGATTTATCAAGAGTAACCAACAAGAGATGAAAACAGTAGAACCATAAAGTTCAAAGCTTAAAGATAAATTCATCTGAATGTTTTGAGATGAGGCATGATCTAATATGGTGGAAACAAAGCTTGTTAATATATTCGGAAATCACTGTTTCTTTTTTCCAGAGCTTACAATTACTCCGATCCCAGCAGCTACCCGGCACCAGACCAGAAACACCAGTATAATGATCAAAATGAAAATCCATACGACTATGTTGCCCCCAGGCAGCATATGAACAGATCTCGAACGTCACCAAATCAAAACGCAGTGTACGCTCGGCCCTACACGATGTCAGAAAAACACGCACGGGAAGGGTCGTATGATCGGGGAAGGTCATTCATGAACCAGATCTACATGGATACGGAGCAGCTTCAGAAGTTGAGAGCCCGGCAGGATAATGGCCCTCCTCCAATGAGTAGCCATGGCAACAGAGATCTAGCGGCAGCAAGGGATTCTGGGTATCCAAGTCCTGACCGTCCCAGGTGAGGGGTGATAATAAATTGTGTTTGGGGTGTTTTGTGACGGAAATTAACTGCCTTGTTGCAAGTTTTCTCTTCTTATTTTTCTGTATCATGGAATGTGTAGAATGATTCTGTTTTTCTCCAGCAAGTTTCCTATCATTGAGTGCAATAAGCTTTATTTTTGTTTTCTGAATTTTGCTTAATTTTTTGTTAATAACAAAATAATGCATATTTGTAAAAAATTATGTATTGGATTAAGTGATTTAGTTACAATTCAAATTTTACAAGAATTATAATTTAGTCAGTTAGTTTTTAAATCAGATTTAAAGAAGAAGGTTTTTTTTTTCATATATATAAATATTTATTTTTTCTATTATTTATACTATCAAAAACTATCAAAAATTATGCAAAATAAAGGAAACTTGGAGAGAAAAAATGTATTTATTACATGCAAATGCAGCAATGTATATGCCACATTTATCCAAGAATGCATTTACAAATTATTATAGTCACCCTTTAAAAGGAAGGTGTGATGTCTATAATATATTAACATATCAAATATTTTGCTAAAGGAAAATACAATTTAACTTTATATGAGAGCTTTAATTTGTTCAAGTTTTAACAAATATATATTTATTTTTTCATTAGCACAAATTGTTTAGAAAGCAAATCATGTTGAATTTTTTCCCTTCATTCATTAATATGCAACTTAAGATTTCAAGAGTTTGAAAGATTTCAGAATTATTCAATATTTAAAACTGGCATAAAATGCAGTTTTCATGGTATTTAATTAAGAAATAGTTCATCAGCTGCATGTGTCTTTTTTGAATACATATAGAATAAATGTGAATGTTTGCATGCAGTGCATTGATCTGAAATTGTTAGTAGCATTTTAAAAATAGCATGAAAGTATCCCACTATACATGTATATCTAAAGATACTGATCTGTAGATTCCACAATAACATTTAGTATGTTTGTTGGTAATTTGGTTTAAAATTCCTTAAAAGAAAACAGAAACTGTTTATAGTGACTTGGTAACAATTAATTTAGGGACTGATTACTAATGAATCTCTGATTTTTTTTTTTTTGAAACAACAATCTTTATATCTGTTACTTGTCCACAATTCATTTCAAAAATCTACACCCCCCACTAGAACACAAGATCTGTTTCATGCACAACAATTTCACTTGATGATGTTTTCCAAACTTTTCATGTGTTGTACCCTGGAAATCTGAGTTAGCTAGTACTTTTGAAAAATCTTAAGATAATGCTGATACAGATGGTAATGTGAAAATGGAAAAAAAATGTTTGGATTTTAAATGAATTGCAATTATTTCATGTAACGAAGAAGCTCCTTTCAATTAATATATAGTTTTTTTTATCATACAAATAGATATAAAAGTCTCCCTTTGGAAGTTAAATCAATTCTTTTGAAAAACTTGAAAAAGACACCAATATTTTGTAAACACTAAAAAAATCACTGCCAGTTTTAAAAAGCAGCAAGGATTTTCAATGAAAATCAATTATTAATAATAATGAATTAAATTCATGTGTTAGTATTACATTATTATAATATCATTGAAAAAAGCATTGCATTCTTGTTGAAAATATTTATACAAATTATTTTTTTTAAAATTTTTATGTCTGCCAGATTTGTTTAAATATATATTTAGAGAATCTAACAGAATTTATATATATTGTATGTGCACATTCATCTCTAACAGAGTTAGACATTATAGACAAAATATAATATATCGCCTGAATGAAAGTTTTGTTTGTTTTCCCTTTTCAATTCTCCAGTTCTCGTCACCAAGGTTTTAAAGGCTAATAATCATTTTTTTCCACTCAAAGATAATCAAGTCTGACCATATTTTATTTAATATCAAAGTCTCAAATAACTCAAATAAAGTTATAAGGAAGGGGAGGGGGAGTTGTAAAGGGCAGGCAAACAAAATTTTAATTTATATTTTCATGACACAAGTTATTAATTTTCCACTGTATATCAAAGATATGCTTCATGAATAGTGATTATATATCCTAGTTTTTGTATATTGCTTGTTACATATAATCAATAAATATAATAGAATACTGTTTGGCATAGTTCTGTTATTTTTTCAACAAGAATGCAATTTAACTATACATACTCAGAGAAAGTGAAATTTCAGCTGAAACTTTGACACAATTTATCCTTTTAATACACTGTATCTTAAAAAATTTAGTTGACTGAAGTCTACATGAGTGAGACCTAGCTAGGATTGTTAATTTCAGAAACCATGGTCAGTGAAGATACATGTATGCACATCACAATCACTTCACAGAATAATGCATTTTCCAACTTTCCTCATGGATACAGTTCTCTTGCATTATATAAAATAATTCATAAAACATTATGTCACTATAGCATGTACAATGTATCATGGAGCACCAGTCTTCATTTTAGGATAAAAAATGAACATAAAAACCCAATTTGGTTTCTCTCTATCCTCTTCCTCTCTGTTTCTCCCTGTCTCTCTGGCCTGTCCAGCTGTCTGTCTCTTCTTTCTTCCTCATTGTCTCTCTCTAAAATCTATCCAAGGAATGATCTAGCACGGATAACACTATATGACCATATCACTGAATATGTAATATAAAACCAATTTTCAGTGGAGCTGATGACATCAATGGACATTCTAATCAAGGCGAGGGGATCAGTGACCCTAGGACTAGTTTCTCTTCCTATAAGAACCTTATAACCCCAGGGTTTTATGGCGCCAAAAAACCCACCTACTTTATGCCTGATGATTTAGGGTAAATCTCACACATTTAATGCTAGTTATTTTTTTTTTCATCCCTCAGTGGTGATTGGGCATTTATTGCACAAGTAAAACAATTTCTATACAATACATAATTATATATTAATATTTTACATTTCTCCCTCTTATCTTAATTTACACACCTAATGCAGCATTAATTAATATGTTTCCACATCCACAGCGAAAGCAACAATTGATTTTATAAATGTGTGGTTTCTTCTTTTCATTAATTAAAATTTAAATTAATAAAATGACTTAAACTCTTCAAACATGTACTTTGTATACATATAAGATTTTACTCATAAATAACCCTTTTTTGTACTCATTCGTTAATTATATTGACCTCAAAGTTTTAACACAGGAAAGGGTTCTAGTCTAGAGGCATGCATTTAGTAGTTTGTTTTGGTACTAAAAAAAGATTGTCTTAATAATTATAAACTTCTTTTATATTGCATTGAATATTTAACTTACAAGTATCACCATAATATTACCGAACACACCTTTATGTGTATACTTTATAATATTTATTTATCAAAGGCAAAAACAGTAATGTAGTTATAATTTAAAATAAATTTTTCATAAACATGATAAAATAAAGATGCTTCAATGAAAATTCAAATTTAAGGCAAACTGAATAGATGAGAAAGTTTAAGTTTGTTACCATGGTTACTAATGAGATTTCTGATTTTTTGATGCATGCACAATTTATGAAAAATCTCATTCCAGATTCATTTGTATAAATAACTTTCTTTTGCTTGACCTAGTTCCAGCATGCTTAATTTTAATTTAAAATTTTAATATATCAAAAACTTATTAATTATGATTGCATGTATATGCACATTCTATGGAAATTTTTTAATACTTTTGAATTTTTAATGCACATAAATTACCTTGAGTTGATCGATTAACAATATTATAAAATAGAAATGACAATTGATTTTAAAAATTGTGGTCATTGTATCATTCTCTTAAAACTTTTAATTTCTACATTTAATTGTTGATAAAATATTTTATAAAATGATAAAATGAGTTTCATTCTGCTAATAATGTTAAATTTTGTGTGATACATAATACAGTTTAAAAAGATTTTGTACAAGTGTCCCCCCCTTTTTTAAAAGCCAAACTGAATACTTTTAAATTATTGATTATTACTCTATGTGTAATGTAATAGAAAGGACAATAGATTTATAGTAAAGTATACAGCTCCAAGACATTAAAATTATTTATCGATTCATTATTAAAAGGTTATTCAGCGTATTTCTTTCAATTCAAAATAAAAAAAAGAAAAAGAATATTGAAATTCTGTCAAGGACTCCTCACATCGCACAACCCCAGCCCCTCTACCTTAGGAGTAAATGATATCCTTCAAACGTCTTAAAGACGAAAGATTGCAAACTTTTCAGAGACCAAAACAAAGTGACAAGTCATGACGCCAGTGACCGAGAACGGAGTAGTCACGAAGACAGCGACGATCGCAGCAGTGCCTTCGAGGCCTATAGAAAACCCGTCATGTCTACATTCGGGAAAGTGTCCCCTGGAAAAGGCTTCGAACCCAGCAAACACATAAGGTAGGTATATTTCAAAGTTCTTTTAGAACACTTGTCTTGTAGATTCTAGGGCACAATAGTTTGATGTCTCTAGTTTTTGTCTTGCAGCATGCACAGTGTCTGGTTTTCTTTTGATTTTTATCATGTATGGGGTTTTGGAAAATTCTTCTACTTGCATTCTTCTTTTCAGAATAGGAAATTGTTTTTTTTAGATGCATTGACGGTGTATTTTTTTTTAAAATTCTGATTGAACTAAGGTGTGTTAATAATGGAAATAGCAAGTTAAAAAAAAACCAACGGACATGACTCTAAGACTGTCCAATTTTTGCTTGGACAAATAATTTTGTAATTCCACATAACCGTAAACTGAAAAGTATATCAAAGGGAATTAAATTAACTATGATTCATTTTTTCCTCACTGTATTCCCAAAAGAGAAAACAACATACACTTCATACATTTTGTTAATGATGTCCATTGATATGTTTAGAACATCCAGTCCCAAACCTGATATTGTTTTGAATAAGAATTCTGTTGATAATGACATCACAAATGATGTCACAGCACCTGAAGGTGTCAAGTATGACACACCACCAGAAAATCTAGAAACAAGGGATTCTGGTGAAAACCAAAACACAAATTCATCCTCGGAAGATACAGGCACAATTAAAAGGCGGTAAGGAATATCAATAACCAGGAACTACCAAAATATCTCAAGGAAGAGTATTTTGTAGGGGGGGGGGGGAGTGGGAAAGCTTTTTTCATAATGTAACACATGATTCAGCTTTTACTATAACTAAAAGGTTTGAAGCTTAAAGCATAAAAAAAAGAAAATTAAAATTTTATTTGGCAACCAACATTATACAAAGAAATTATTTTGTTCAACTTCTTGATATCAAAGTGTTCAAGTATTTTCAAATAGCTCAAAACATTTATAGTGTAAAGAGGAAAGAACTCAATGGTACTGATACAGTTAGTGCCAAGCAGGAAACTGATGACAAAAAGGATGATTCGGGTGATGATTCTGACAATGATCAACAGGAACTCAGTCCAACAGAAAGCACAGGTTTCTCTACCCATGAAGAACCAGCAGTTGCTTCAGCATTGAATAATGGCAGTGCCAGCCCTTATGATGTAAATGTGGATCCAGCAATTAGTTACTCCTCAAAGTATTCCCTCAGAATTGCTCACCATTTAGAGGAAAACAACAAGGGAGTTAAATCCTTTCAGAATGATGGACAGGGCAAAAGTGGCACCAAAATACCAACTTCTTTGAAGACGGACAAATATGATGACCAGCATAGACATTCACAAGACAGTGATGATGAAGGTAAAAGAAAGGTTGCCAACAGCCAGAGGTATGCTTTTATTCGCAGATCAGGACTTGCTGGAGAGAGGAGGCATCATGATAATTATGAGGGCCATTCTTCAGAAGAAATGGATGATCCTCCTGTAGACCCACCAAAAAGTCAGAAATATGCTAGCATCCATAAGTCTGGATTTTCTGGTGAGAGAAGACCTCTTGATAATCATATCAGCCATTCTTCACTTGATAGAGATACACCTGTAGAAAATGCAGATAGCCAGAAATATGCTAACATTCACAAGGCAGGATTTTCTGGTGAAAAGAAGGTTCAAGATGAAGATGACATCCATCATGTGCATATGCATGCAGCAAAAGAAACGGACCCACTTGTTGACGAAAGTGGAAAACAGGAAGTAACACGTGGAAAGGTACCTCCAGCAAGTGTGTTTAGTTTTCCAAAGATGAGGTTGGATCGATACAAGTTAGGAAATGATAGCAAGACTCCTGCAACAGGCAATAGAACTGATAGGTATAGGGGGTTACTGGGAACACATGGACGAATGTCTTCCTATGAAAAATCTTCTGATGTTGTGGATGGGGAGCAAAATGGACATCAGAATCAAGATTCAAATGCTGGGGATACTAAGGAACCCTATGGAAAAATTAAAGTAGAAAAGGTCTCCGAAAATGAAAGTCCAAAGGATCATTCAATGAAAGATGTTCCAGAAGACTTACATGATACTGTTAATGCCAAGCAAAGTGAGATGGATGATGACAGTGGGGAACTGAATGAAAGCCCTTCCAGTAACACATTGGTGGAAAATGAGGATGACTCATCCACTGACACTGCCTCTGAAGATGGATCATTAGTGAAGAGCCCTTCTAACAATACACTGGTGGAAATGAATGTAGAAAATAAAGATCAGGTGGAAGATGATTACAATGGGTCAGATGATGAAGTAGACTCTGTAAAAGGCCAAAGCAATGGGGAGGTAAAGGAAAACAATATTCATGGATTATCTGTTGATCATGTAATGGATAAGAGAGATGGGATGGAAAATGGAATTGGTAAGAAATATAAAACATCAGAGTCTTCAAAGCTTCAGGAGGAAAGAAATTTCAGTGGAAAGGATAGCAAAGGTCCACCTGAAACCAAAGCACAAAAGGTAGAGACAAAAAGTGGGAATGATTTTTCATTTAAAAGGAAGACTGAGCAGAAGGCGAATGATGAAAAAGCAGCCTCAAATGTTAAACAAGATAACAAAGCAGATAAAGAGGTCATGGAGATTTTGGATTATGATAGAATGTATGATAGACCCACCATTGGTCATTCTTTGACCCGAGGAATCGGTCACGAATCTCCGACTAGAGAGGTCAAAGGGCAAGAAGTCAGGAGGAGTCAAGGTTCAGTGAAAGGTCGCAAGGTTCAGAAAAATCAGGAATTTAGAACAAGTCATGAAATTAAACATGTAAAGAAGTGGCCAGATCACACTGAGATAAATCGACAGTCTGTCGAGCAAGTGGTAAGAAATGAGAGGCCAATTGGTAACGAAAGCGATAAAGAGAAGCACACCATCTATAAAACCTATAGACGGACCTCAAAGGTCACCAAGCGAGATGTGTTAGCTTACAACAAAGACATCAAGGAGACCTGTGTTGATGATATTTATGATGACGAAGTCGACGATAAGGCCGGGAAGACTGTGAGTAGAATTCCTGACTTTTCCAAAGACAATGAAAGGAATGGGTCAGATGGGAGGAATGGGAATTTGAAAAATGGCAATGCTGATGACTCAGAGGAAGATGCTTTCACAATTAGTCTTAAGAAACTGCATCTTGAAAATTTAAACATTGGGTAAGAAAATGTATAATCATGAAGATATACTTCAGGAATATACTTGGAAGAGACTGATTCTAACTTTTGAAGTATATACATAACAATTATACATGGAATGCATAAATTTATCAAGCCAGAAGAAAATTCAAAACTATAATTGGTACATGTACAAAAGAAAATAATTATGATGAAGAGACTATACACATGTACAAATATTACCAGAAAACCAAGGATACTAAAACAGCTTTGAATATTATATCCCAGAACCATACACATCAAATATATCAGTTTTTATATTCTGTAGGTGGAATGCATTTTAGTTGGTTTTGCAGATTCAAAGTGGCTGATTTTGCATTATTAAAAATTGAAGTAAAGTGATATACTCAGCTGGTAGTATATAAATGAACACACTTAGGATTGCACCAAAATTCGAATTGTAATCCAATGATTTTCAAGAAAAATAAGAGTGTGTAATATCACTTTTCATGAATTGACCAAGTGGATGGTAAACATGTTTTGATAACATGATGAAGAATATGCACAGTCTTTTCCTTCTCTTAACACTTTACAACTTACTGTACTGTTTTTCAACATACAATGAATGTTCATCATAAAAATTGCAAGTTAGCGTGGTACATAAAAGTTTAGCGTAAATAATATATACTATATTTCAATACAAAAATAACTTTTCTTATTTGATGAGATTTTTGCAACCAAAATATGAAACAGTCATTAAAGGATTGAAATGAACTTTTTAAAGTGCGTGAAAATGCGTGATTGCGGGGAAACGGTATATGCGTGATTTTGCGTTAGAAATAGGAAATGGTATATGCATTAAAATGCGTGACTGCGGGGAAGGGGGTTAAGATACATGAAAGAAGATGAAATCAATGCAGATGTTTCTTTCTTCTAAGATACATGTACGTTCGTAAAATATTTGAGGTCTTTAACTTTGTTTTAATGGAATTTTAAAGGATTTTTTGAAAAGTTGATGACTGTTAATTCTCAATTATTTTAAAAGACAAATAAAATAGCATGTTAGCTAGTGCATGGAAAAGAACTGTAGGATATTGGTAGTTTTAGCAATTTGTTTTATTTGTATGCAATATACAGTTAATGTAGTTGGTTTTTTCTATTATCTCTGCAATCTTGGCTTTTGTTTCAATTATTATACTCTTCTAGCAATTGATCAGTCTTTTTATTCTAGATAAAATGTAGTTGATTTGTAAAAATTGTGCAATTATAATTTAGATTGGGGGGATTAATATTTTGCAAGGGACAATAAATTTACACCTCAGTGAACATTTATAGATCTTTCAATATGAGATTTAATTGCTTAAGAATTGATGTGCTAATTCTTACAATTTCTAAAAATATTACTATTAGCTAATTGAAAAATTTGCCACTTTGTTTTCACAGGAAAAATAAAAAATGGAAGACTGATCATGATGTGCTAAAATATTATTCTTTAGGATTGACAACAACATTTGTGACTTCAAAGTACTGTAGAATACTAATTTCAGTGTGGTATTTATTTATGCTACATGTGCTATGAATGCAGTCATATTGAATTTTCTATTAAGAAATTTCCAAAAGTAAAAATAGTCATCATTTAAAAGTATGCTATAATTCACACAATTTGAATTTTTGTAAATTACACCATTAAAACTAAACGCGTTACATCCTAAAATTTTTTAAATAAATCCAAAAAATTAAACGCACGTGGCGTAAAGAAAACAAACGTATAAATAGTCATCATTTAAATATTTGTTTGACGCAAGACCTTAATATCAATAATTTCACTTTATTTTGGACAATGATCTATATATAGGCCTAATGCCATAATTTTGAATTTTTAATTCCTATATATGAATAACATATATAACATTTTTCACACATGTGTTTTAAATCATTAATCATTTTGTTTCACACAAAATTCGGCGTTCATACAGCGTATATGACTTTAAATAATATTTGCTTAAGATTTCACTCATTCTGATGCACAATTTGTTGAATAACAAAACCACACTGAACTAAGAAATCACGAGTGTTGTTTGCCAACTCTGACTTGTATATCTATCTTTTGGTTTGGTCTTTTCTCTTTCTCTAGTGCCACACTCTCTTCTGATACTAACATCACTACATCACCGATAGACTCTACCTCGGCCAAAACGACCGAGGAGGTCACCCAAAGGTCAGAGGCAACTGACCCCGTGACCGGCGATAGCGGGGCCAAAGGTGAAAGGTCAAATGCAGAGCAAGTCTCTGCTAGCAACACCTTTCTTGTTGGGTAAGAGAAAATATGGTCTCCCTTAGTTTTAAAAAATTTTCCCCAAATTTCAGAAATTTTAAAAAAATGTTAATGGTACAAGAACTGTTTTCAGCTAGCTGTTTCACTCACTGCTGTACATGTAGTTATATGCATAATTTTGTGAGTTTTGTTTTTCTTTTGCATGAATATATATAAATGTTTTAAGTTAATTTTTTTTGAAGTAGGACTGAATCGTTCTTGTTTTCACACAAATATCTTGCTTGATTCCAAGTTAATGAAATATTTAGTTTGAAAAATAAGGAATTTAAGGCATGGATTGGAGAAGGGGTTTCAAACAAAGTTTCATTTCCATCATATTCCATACACACGTTTTATTTAATGTTTCCCCCTCAAAATGGTAGAAGTTCTTATCTCTCTTGTATATTCAATGGAGGTAATAGAATAAAATTCTTGATTTTCTTTTACCATTATTTTCTTAGGTTTACCTATTTTGATGTAAGATTTATGAATTATGCTCCACTGTCTCTTACTGATCTTCTTATCATGATTATTTGATAGCTGTAAATTATCTAATAATTATATGCTTAAGATTTTAATAATTTTCAAATATAAAGGAAAGATACATTTTATCTATCATATTTTATGAAATATAGCCAGGAGTTTATGATAATTATACATGTATAAATTGAATATACCCGGTAATCAAGATTTATGTATTAACTTTTAATAAAAAGTTTGTTAAAAGAAGATGGATTATTTACCAAATACATGTAGTTGATGCTGTTTTAGCAATTACGAAAACAATATAGCAAATATACCACTCCAAATTTAAATTTTGTATATATTTCAGAAATCTGTGAATAATGATTATGTAAAAAGGTATTATTCCAATTAAATAGGAAGTACAGATCTTAAATTTAAATTTTCTGTCCATATTATAAACATTTAGTTTATTAAAATAGAAATACAAATAAATTTTTTAAATTAATTTTTTGATATGTATGACACATTGCATGCATACATTTAATGTTTTCAGGAAGTATGATATTTATGTTTTGTTTTAAAATGTTTTTAACATATAAATAGAATTTTTCCATTTTCTTCAGACCAGACACTGGTCAGCTGATAGAGGGGAACCACACAGTGGTGGCTACAGCCAGGGGTGTGTTTGACCATCAGGGAGGGGTGCTGGAATCCCCAGAAACAGGTAAAACAAATCAGACACATACAGGGATGGGGGAAGGAGAGTTCAAGAGACAATGCATTTTTCTGTGGACAGATTAAAATATAAATAGAAGTTTGTAATAATCTCAGAGTTTTGTTGATGTAGGATGGGAATATTTCTTGTAATGTTTAATTTTAAATTGGATAAAAGCTTGTTGTTTAAATTCTAGTATCTTTTTGAAGAGATGAAATGTTATACTTTCTTCATGCTATTTTTCATCTTTATACAGGTGTTAGCATAGTCATTCCAAAAGCTGCAATTCCAGAGGGAGTAACGCAGGAGATTTACTTCAAAGTGTGCAAGGATAACAATATTCTCCCTCCTCTGGACAAAGATAAGGGTAAGCAGCTCCTTTTAAACACAGAAAAAGTCTTTAAACATGTACAGTAAAACTTGTCTACTCTGAACACTTCAATAGTTCCAAAGAAATTGGTTGGATTAGGCAACATTCTGGATTAATCAACAAAAATATTAAATATACTGCAAGGGACTCCAAGTTAACACTGTATTAGACAAGAGTTTGAATTAAACAAGATTGGATTAAACAAGTGTGACTGTATTGTAAAAAGTAGAGTTGATTTTAGGAACGGAAAGAGAACTTGATATTACAGTTGAATACACAGTTAAGGCCATAATAGATAAATTGCTAAAAGCTCAATGAATTTTTTTAAAAATAAATTTTATATTTTTTATTTTTTCAATTTTGTAGATTTTTTATCGACTTGGTCAATCTGTGTAATTTTATCTACAATACCCAAATAAAAGTCATAGTAAAGGTTCAATTATCTCTTACTTCACATCATCACCAATCTTTTTCAACCAATAACCGTTGTTTAAAATATATACGCATGAATTACAGCATCTTTTCAGCTGTCAAAATCATGTCTACTTTCGCGGGATTTAAAATGAAAGTAGACTATTTTATGAATCATTTTAGAAAGAAAAACAGAAATAAAAAAAATCGAGGCGGGGGTCTAAAATCGGTGCGGGCGGGGATCAGAATCTAGGAATATTTTTATTATGGCCTAAAGACAACCATTTTTTAAAAATGCTCATTGACAATGAAATTTCTCAATAATATATGATAATTTGCTCACAGCATTATCTTTTGGTTCCAAATAAAGGAAAAGTAAGCAAAAAGTAAAAATTGACTCTATTTCTGGAATACTTATTTTATAATATGTTACTATTTTAAGAATCCTTTAGACATAATAATTTTTGATGACTTTTGCAGGAGAAACTCTTCTTAGTCCTCTAGTCATGTGTGGGCCACACGGCCTTAAATTCCTTCAGCCTGTGGAACTACGCCTTCCTCATTGTGCCTCTGTTAACCCTGACAGCTGGTCATTTGCCCTTAAATCCAGTGATTCTCCTACAGGTAAACCTGAAAAAAAGAAAAAAAAGGTTCCTCTTTAGGGAAATTTTTATGAATCTTGTAGAAGACTTTGTATTATGATTCTTAATTTGGTAAAAAGGAAGGAAATTTAAAGCCCAAAGAACTTCCTTTTAATTGAGTTTTGCCATTCAGCCTATTTAATTTTATCTCTCTATTATTTAGCCATTAATTTACTACATTTGCAGGAATGCCATAGTCTAAATAATTGTTCTTAATTTATTGAAAAGTTGTTTAATGAAAACTTAAACATCCTGTTTTGTAGGTCATCCCACACAGTGGCAGAACATGACGTTGGCAGGGATGGATGGGGTGGCGCAGGGGCGCGTAGGAAGGAACAGTGTATCAGTACTGGTGGACCACTTCTGATGGACATTCTCAAAACCTGAAAAAAATCAAACTCATTCTGACTTCAGATATAGTTCATAGTGGGAAGGTTATAAAAAAAAAAGCACATTGCTCTTTTCTAGGACACTTCTGATGGGGATCTCTGGTTACATAGTGCTTTTTTGCTCTGGGTTGTGATGTTTTGGAGGTTGTGATCAACATTTCAATGAAAAAACTTTTTTCAGTTCAATTCATGCTGGGATTATTGTGGACCATAAAAAAAAACATTGAACAAAAGTTGGACATTGCATGATTTAAAAAAAATCAAAAGTAATGCAAAGTATAATAAAAAAAAGAAATGAAACACAGCAATATTTTTTTGGCTCTAAATGCAGTGCCTGTTACATGTATTGCCTGTTGTATTCTTTTATTCAATTTTATATTCGAAACAAAAACATTTTAGAACTCAGAGTTAATGCAATGTTTTCTTCCTCTCAAATTTTCTGTTGTCATTAAGTACAGCTAGGAGACAGAATAGAAAAATCAAGAGCTCTTCATTATTCAAACCAAAATATCTTGGAAGAATGAAATATATTTAAACATGGCTATGGAAGGCCATAAAAGGTTGTTTTTCCTGAAAGATTTTGTTTTCGCTTGAAAGGTTAGTTATATGTATTGTGATATTCTTCAATTTGTTTTTTTTTTTGTTCAAGTGAGTTACAAGTACGTGTACATTGTGTTTTTTGTTCTTTCTTATTGTATACTGAGTTCCAGTATTTTGTTTTTTTTTTTATTGAAAAGTACCAATTGAAACATCAAAATAAGTCATTACTTATATATTACTTGGATTTTTAAGTTGCGCTTCTATTTTTGTGAAATAGTCAGTACTGGTGTATATATAATGTATGCCACATAACAAATGCGTTTTCATTGACAACATCGAAGAATTGTATTCAACAAACTATATATATACTACATACATAAATTATATAGTACACAATGGTCATATATTTCTCCACTAAATGATATTTTTTGGTTCATATTTTGCAATATTAACTGGGAAGTTTAAAATTCTTGCAATATTTCATGGAGATTGGCTTTTCAGTGCTGTTTATTTTAAGACATTTTCAACTTCGTATTGAGGCATGTTTTGATTATTTTTCATAATTGAGAAAAGAGCTAGTGGTCAGATTTGAGAAAATTTTCATGTGTGCTTGCTGGATACAAGTTTGGAATAAACATAATTATGCATAAATACTGTTTTAGAAGAAAAATCATAACAGGATTGTATTTTTACATGTATTGAAATCTAATCAAAAATGGCAAGGAAAGAATTTTCTAGTTTTTACCCAATTTTCGAGGAAAGTTCCATTATATTTTCTTGCTCTTTGATTGTTAAAATTTGACAGCCATCTTCAAAATATAAATGTTTAAAAAAGGCATGAATTCATGCATTTTTATAAATGATTCTTTTTGCGCATTTGTGAGCATTATGCGAAGAACATAAAGAACACAGCTAATAATCTCACCCAATCTGATCAGCTTTGTAGTTTAGTACATATCTCTTTCTTCCTTTTCTTTTTAGGAGTGTTTTAATTTCACAAAATATGCTATTTGTTTGAAATATTAAAAAGAGGCATTATTCTTTAAAAAGAAATATATATCTTGAAAATAGCAATTTATATGATCATGCAAAAATACTTGCAATGATATCTGAAAATATCAGAATGCTGATAATAAACGGTTGAGAAAATATCTACTAGATTTAAGTAATATTGCTGTGATATTTTTTTTACTAAAGAAAGCTGGCCATCAAGTATTTGTAATGCTTCTTATACAAGCCATGTGTTGTGAGAATTTATGGTACATTGAGTCCGAATGATATTCTGTTTGATTGTATAAAAACATTTGTGGAGTTTTGAACCTCATAATTCATTTAAAAATATTTGGTTAGAAAAAAATCGTATATAATTTAATAATTTGTAGCAACATTTTTGACCATTTTTAGAATTTATGCACAATGTATATGTAACAAATTCATTTCCTTTTACCATGTTTACTAAGAAAAACACATTTTTACTAGTATCAAGTCCATCACACAAAAACAAAGAATACTCAAAATAACATGCTTCTTTAATTCATTTTTTTGTTCAGTTCCTTTTTATTGGAGCGGTTGTATTTATGCAAAATTTCATTGAATTTGAATGAAAAAAATATCTTGAAGACAACAAAAGTAGCATTTTGTGCATCAGGTCAGTAAGCAAGAACGAACTTGTTGGTACTAGAGACTTTTAATGTCCAATTTTATTTTTAAAATTTCTGTAAGTGGGGGAGGAGGCCCCCCCTTCCTTTCTCCCACCTGTATTATTATTCAGTAATATTGTTAGTGTATTGTTAAATTTCATGTATTAACTATATTTTAATTGAAAAAAATGTTCTTTTGATTTGATGTACATATAAATTTCCCATATGTAACAATGTGCACTTTTAAATGAAATATTATGTGAATGCATATTTTATTACCAAGATGTGCTTTATAAATGATGTTAACATAAATTATGTTGCAGAATAAGAAGATATTTTATTTGTCAGACAATGTTGTTCCATAGTTTATATATATATATAGTTGTACTACACGTAGATCCAATTTAGTCTTTATCATCTAAACATTAAAAAATCACACCCTGTTCCATGCAAATACTATATTTTTCTCATCATTTTCATCAATTTTTGTTCATTTTGTGTTGAGATTTTACATTAATCGTTTAAGACACATGCATAGAACAAATAAAATAGCATTTTATTGACTTTGAATTTAACCTTGTATGATGTTCATGTATAAAATTTCATCATTGACTTTATGTAAATCATGCACTATTGGTCTTCCATAGATACCAAGATGCTTCGTTGAGAGAAAATATTAAAAAAATTATTACATTTCATCTTTGTTTTGTCTTTTTTTTAAAAACAGTAGCTGATCTGGTTGTTAATTGTCAAAATCAAGGAAATAATTAGTAATACTATCATATTTGTAATTTACATATACTAATGTTTTCTCTTGATAGTAAAATAAAAAAGAGCGTGAATATGATGTCATTGATTAGGTCATCCAAGGCGAAAGTGTAAGAGAATTTGGTCAACACTGATACATCTGAACAGGAGATAATTGAAGAGAATTGTTGAAATTAATTTGACTCGTAGAAAATGTTTTGAATGGAAAATCTTATGATCCTATTTATGATAAAGTCCTTTAAAGCTGAACTTTTCCTTAATTTTATATAATTTTTTAAGCATTGTCCACCATATTTCTTGTTCATTGCCACTATTCCCTTAACTTTCTATTTAACCCGCAGACCTCTTACAATGTAACAAATTAAGGTATTTCGCTGTAGAGGGCTGACGAGTATATACATGTATAAACATCGTACATTGCCATGTGCACAGCGGGGTCACAATGAAATTATCAAATTAAACGCACTGATTAGTGTGCAGCTTAAAAGTTTATCAAATAATTACGTCATAATGAATCTAGCACTTTTACAAGATTTTGACGTGTCATATTTGTGACGTCACAGTATTACTTGACGTCATAGATTCTACGCACAGCTTTTCAAACTGTGAATCTGATACAGCAGTAAGAAGGTTATTCAGAACTGGTGAATTATAATACAAAGTAATGGATCATGATAATTGGGTACGGACAACTGATAGAACTGGTATGTATTCTTGTTTATTTAAATTCAACGTTAAGTTAGCAAATCTCTGTATATAACATTGTATCGTTTTTTTAAGGGAGGGGGTTACTTTGCCTAACTGCATGAAAAAAAAAAATGACAAGCAAAAAAAGGAAATTTTTCCAAACGCAAAAACCCTGTTTCGGGAGGGGACGGGGTACTGTCTTCCCCAAATTTTTTTTTATTAAAATAGAAAATTTGGCCTTTTTTTCTATTTTAATAAAAAATTTTGGGAAGACATGTACAGTACCAACAATCTAAAGTGAATTAAACAGATGTCTAACCTCAAACAATTTTATGGCTTTACCTATGAAAAACATCCTAAGTAATAATCAGGGAAAATTATATTTTAGAAAAGCCTGTTTTTAATACAGAACAAGGAAATAAATAGGCATTTTGAATTTCTGCGACTCGCCATTTGACTCAGAAAAGTTAAGATGCATAAGGGAACAAATTTTTGAATTACCACCTATACGAATCAGACCTTTTAAATCTTTGATCCTGTTTCTGAACTTGCAGGTTAATAGGGGAAATGCATTTCGTATAGGATTAAAGCATGTAGTAAATAAATTCCGTTTGTTTCCTTACAGCAAAAAAAGTTTGGCGTTTTGCCAAAGTGGTAGGTGGCAGCGTTTTGGCTGCTGGCCTTGCCGTGGTAGCGATGACCGTGGCTGTGTCGGCAATTGGTTTCACCAGAGAGGGGATTAAGAAAGGGTCCCTGGGTGCAGGTATGATGTCTTGGGAAGCAAATGATAGAGGAGGCGGAGTGGTGGCGGGCGGTCCGGTGTCAACGCTACGGAGAATAGGAGCTGTTGGTCTATCTGGGACTGAAAAATCTGTCATTGGCACCATAGCAGGGGGATTATTTGCCTTGATAAGTTTAAGTATGGAGCCATCAGGTAAAATAAATCAAAGATGACCTTAGAAAAGAACAGCTAGGTTAGAAATAGTTTATACTGTGAAAATGCAAGCATGTATGCTCGTCAAGTGCATGTGCATTGAACTATCTTTAATATATTTTCCACATGGGCAAGTCTAAATCAACTATTTATAAAATTGTAAAATAAATAAAATCATAAAAAAAGCAAGCGCATTGAAACAGCATATACTGTAGGAATTTTGAGTCATTTAACTTTACAGTTTCGCGCCTCAAAACACCGTTGATGAATTAAAACAAGAGGCCCATGGGCCACATCGCTCACCTGAGCACTAAGGGTAGGAAAAAGTAGAAAATGGCTTTTTATTGTAATGTTTAAATCCAAAAGTAGTCCTATGACCAATCATGGATTTGCTATTTTTTAGAAAAAATTTTTTAAAGAATTTTCCTATATATATCTTTAAAAACGTTGGTCTGCCATTTTGGCCCCGCCTTATCCCTGGGGGTCATGATTTGAACAAATTTGAATTAACACTACTTGAACATGCTTCCATATAAATATGATGAATTATGGCTTTGTCATTCTTGAGAAGATGTTTAAAGAATTTCCTATATATATCTATGTAAAACTTTGGTCGGCCATTTTGGCCCCGCCCTACCCCCGGGGGTCATGATTTGAACAAACTTGAATCGACACTACCTGAGCATGCTTC